TAGGATGGTGTCTGGAAATTGACAGTTGGTGGTGCGGAGTATTGAGGTGTTTCAGTGACGCCATCATCGCGGGGAATGCTGGTGTAGAATCCATTGTGATGAGGAATGTTCCTAGTTTGACTGGTTGGTGGGTGGTGAGTTTCTGTAAGAAATCTGTAGTGTGATGACAGAAGCTTGGGGGCTCCTTGTAGAATGGCTTTCAAGATTCCCTCGACATAGCCAGAGAGGTTCTCACACAGGGTCCCATTGCCTGGTATGATGGGACGTCCAGGTGTGTTGGCTTTGTGTATCGTTAGAAGGCAGTAGAAGTCTCTTGTGTGAGAAGTACTTGGGATGAGAGTGAATAGGATACTCTGAAGGTCTGAATCAATGGTCTTGATCAGTCTGTTCCATTAGCGGGTGTGTTCTTTGGTTCAATCAGCAAGTAGTTGTCTGTACTTTTCCTGTTTGTTCATTTGTCTGTATACTTCCCTGCAGTATTCCGTTCTGTTCTATATAGCGATGGCTCCTCCTGTCCCTGCTGGTTTGATGACGATGGTGTGATTGGTCTTGAGAACATGGTTGGGTGCGTTGTGTTGTGCCTGGGTGATGTTCTGCGCTATCTTGTGAGCACGGCTGATGAATCTGGCATTAACACGTTTCCCAACAGTTTGAACATACATATCACACCTCGGACAGCGGCCTTCTGGAGGGGCCCAATTCAACTCTTTCTTCTTTGGTCACTGCACCATGGACCTCTCTGTCGACTGTCCCAGTTCATTGGTTGTCTCATTGGGCTCACTGCTGCCATCTTGTGGTTTGTGGAAGAATTCCCGGAGCCTCATTCACCTGATGGATTCCTCTGTGACCCCCGTGATGCCAATGGGGGTCCATTTTGGTACAGAGGCAGAAACTGGGCCCTCAGCTGAGAACGTGGATTTTGTCTGGTGGAAGGCTGTGGTCAGACAAGTTGATGATGGATCGCCCTGTGATGGGACTAGTTTCAACCGTGGTACTGGAGGAGGTTTGGTTACTGCTGGTGATGATGCCACGTTTCTCCTGTTTTTGGTGTGCATGTAGGTGGTGTAATTCTGTTGCCTTATCTCCTTGGCAGTGTCTCGTAGCTGGTCTGCTGTATCCTGAGCACAAGCTGAGAATATGGATTCTATATCGATTTCAAGATTGCAGCATCTGCTGTAGATCTGATTGAGGAGTGTGCGGGAGGTGTGACAGCAGAGTCCTCAGCATAATCTATGTTGCAGTTTGACTTGAGTGGGTTCATGATCTGTAGTCCATTTCTTGACCATTCTCTCCATCGCACTCTCTCTCCATCACTACCCCATCACACTCATTCTCTCACTCTCTTCTGCATAGTTCTCTCTCTCTCTCCCTCCCTCTCTTGCTCTCCCTCCCTGTCTCTCTCTGTCTCCCCATCACCATCTCTCTCCCCATTAATATTGCCTCTGGCCATGTTCCTGATCTGAGTGGGGAATATTTTCATGTGGGAATGGGTTTAAAATGCCCCCCAGGAGATAGAAGAGATTGAGGCTTTGATTGTCCTATTGTTTAATCTCTACTTCAGGGGCTGAGTCATTTCCCAGTCCTTCTCCTCCCGTGTCCTATGATCAGATGTTCTGCTTCTGTTGATAATTAATGTGGGATTTCACACCAAGACAGAAACCTTCTGCTTTCTGAGCTTTTTAACAAAACAAACTATCAGGAACTAAGTGTTGGATTTCTGTCATCATTTTGTGTGCTCCTGATGCCCACACGCAGAGCAGGAAGATCCCAGCTTCACTCCCTACCACTCACTGGTCCAGGCAGGTGAGACCCTCAGTCTGAGGACTGGGCGTTTCTGTTGCTGTCCTTATACTGAACACTGGAGGACAGTGTTGCACATGCAATCAGCCTCTCATTTTATCAGTCAGTCTGTGACCATAAGAAGGAACAATAGAAGGCCATTTGGCCCCTTGAGCCTGCTCCACTATTCGGCTGGCTCATGGCCAATCCCCATTGGAGCAGCTTTGTGTCAGAGTCAAGAGTGAAGGACATGATCTTACCTTCTCAGGCTCCTCTTTATCCCGTATCTGTTATCACTCAGCAGCAAACTCTCCCAACAGTGAGTTCAAGGCTGTTACTTCAAATTGTCCTTCAGAGACTTCATTTAATCCAGCACAGGGTGAGGATGTTCAGCCCATTCAGTCTCTGCTAGATCTTTTGAGAAACAAGCCGGATAATCTCTCTCACCCAATCTTGTCCCTGTCTTACAGAAAACTTTTCTCCTTCTAGGTATTTGCCCAGTTCCATTTGAAAGGATTTTATTGAATCTGTATGCACTGTCCCATCTACCAGTGCAGTCCCTGTGGAAACATGTTCCTCATTTCCCCCTCTGAGGCTTTTCCCGATTCTCTTCCAACCTGCTCACAGACTCTCCAGCCCCTGGATACACTATTTTCTGATTTACACAATCAAACTCTCTCCATGATTTTGAACATTTCAATTAAATCCCCCTGAACCTTCTCTGCTCTAAGCAGAACAATTTCAGCTTCTCCAGTCTCTCCGCATTCACTGAAGTCCCTCGTCCCTCTTCCCATTCCAGTAAATCACCTCCGCTCCCCTCTCCAAGGTCTCCTCTTCGTAAAGAGTGGGGCTTAGGATTGGACACAATCCCCTGCTGTGTCTGACCCTTGTTGGTGAATATGGGACAGACTCTCCTGGATATTGTCCTCCAGGTCATTGTTTAGAAAGAGCAGGATGCTGTGGGCTTTAAGAACTACTTCGTTAACCTGGCCAAGAAGAAGCTTAGCTCTCTCTCATCCATTCCGTTTTTATATGGGATTCAGTGATGGTTACACCATTGCATGTAAAGGAACAGTGGTTAAATTGTCTCTTATTGGTGATGGTCATAGCCTGGCATTTGTGTGGTGCAAATGTCACTTGCCACTTGTCAGCCCAAGCGTGGATATTGTCCAGATCTTGTTGCATGTGAACACGGACTGCTTCAGTATCTGAGGAGCTGCAAATGGTGCTGAACTTTGTGCAATCAACAGTGAACATTCCCACTCCTGATCTTATGATGGAGGGAAGGTCATTGATGAAGCAGCTGCAGATGGTTGGGCCTAGGACACTACCCTGAGGAACTCCTGCAGAGATGTCCTGGAGCTGAGATGATTGACCTCCAACAACCACAACCATCTTCCTATGTGTCAGGTACGACTCCAACCAGCAGAGAGTTTGCCCCCTGTTACCCATTGATTCCAGTTTTGCTCGGGCTCCTTGATGCCACACTCGGTCGAATACAGCCTTGATATCAAGAGCTGTCACTCTCACCTCACCTCTGGAATTCAGCTCTTTTGTCCCTGTTTGAACCATGGCTGTAATGAGATCAGGAGCTGAGTGGCCCTGGCGGAACCCAAACTGGGCGTCACTGAGCAGGTTATTGCTGAGCAGGTGCCGCTTGATGGCGCTGTTACTGACACCTTCCATCACTTTACTGATGATCGAGAGGAGACTGATGGGGCGGTAATTGGCCGGGTTGGATTTGTCCTGCTTTTTATGTACAGGACATACTTGGACAATTTTCTACACTGTAAGGTTGATTCATATGGAGTGAATCGAATTGGCTGAAGACTGGTATCTGTGATGCTGGGGACCACTGGAGGAGGCCGAGATGGATCATCCACTCGGCACTTCTGGCTGAAGATTGCTGCAAATGCTTCAGCCTTATCTTTTGCCCTGATGTGCTGGGCTCTTCCATCATTGAGGATGGGGATATTTGTGGAGCATCCTCCTCCGGTGCATTGTTTAATTGTCCACCACCGTTCACAACTGGATGTGGCAGGACTGCAGAGCTTAGATCTGATCCGTTGGTTGTGGGATCACTTATCTCTTTTTATCACTTGCTGCTTTCGCTGTTTGGCGTGCAAGTAGTCCTGTTTGGTGGCTTCACCAGGTTGATACCTCATCTTCATGTATGCCTGGTGCTGCTCCTGGCATGCCCTCCTCCGCTCTCCATTGAACCAGGGTTGATCCCCTGGCTTGATGGTAATGGTGAGTGGGAGATATTCTGGGCCATGTGGTTACATGAAGTGGAGGTGTCGGTGTTGGACTGGGGAGAACAAGGTCAGAAATCACACGACACCAGGTTTTAGTCCAACAGGTTTACTTTAAGTCACAAGCGTTTGAAGCACAGCCCCTTCGTCAAGTGAAGTCAGAGAGAAGCACACAAACACAGAATTTATAGGCAGAGAGATCAAGGTCAAAGAGGTCAAAAGATCATACAAATGCTGTGAGTGCAGTGTCGAATAATAAGTCTCTACCGTTGATCAAAGTGTCAGACAGTGTGGGTAAAGTATCAACATCTGAATAACAAGTGAAGGGGTGACCTATAGTTCGATTAAATGAGGTAGAGAGATAATTATAAAAAATTTAAAATAAGGTGTTGCTGGAGACAAACAAAATGGTTGGAATAACATGATAGGTATAAGAGTCACTGAGGGTTTTCTCAATGTGAAGCGGGACTTTATCTCCACAAGGACGGTGCGGTGGTCACTCTTACCGATGCTGTCATGGACAGAGAGATCTGTTGGAAGGACTGCTGTTTATATGCGGATTTTCCCTTTGAATTGCTATTCTTGCAAGTTGTCCTGATGAGTGCACAATGCAAACATTCAATAAAATTTATCATGTATTCAACAACACTCACGTCTTGTGTGAACAAGTAACTGTTTGTAATTTTTATTTGTTGTTATTGGCAGCTTTGGGCCCAAAGGTGGTTGGCGTTGCTGTGGCGCAGTATGCCTTTTCAGCGAGAGACATGAGGGAACTGTCACTGCAGGAGGGAGACATGGTGAAGATTTACAGCAAGAACGGACCCAATGGATGGTGGCGAGGAGCTGTCAATGGGAGGGTGAGTGACACTGCCCTGGGATTGCGCTGTGAGTGTGAGTGTGAGAGTGAGAGTGAGTGACACTGCCCTGGGATTGTGCTGTGAG